TGCGATGATCACTCTGGTTAAGCCATGTTTACTGCTGAGAGAGAAGAAAAAAAAGACATATTAGTATTTCATAAAAAGAGACATTGTAATCCCTGTTCATTCCTTATGGTTCTACGTAATTCGATTTCAGTATACAAAATAGCTTTTTGTTCAGTAATTTAAGTCTTTCATCCAGTCTCCTCAGGAAAAATGGATGAAACTGTAGAACCTCAGCTGTACCAGACTGTGTCTGGCCTTCCAGAAATTTATAGAGACAAGCAAATAATAAAGAGACACTTCACCTCCCAAACAAAAAATAAATAAATAAAAATCAATGTTTTGTAGCTATACACTCAACAACAATATGCATACATTTAATTATGCATTGTTTCAGTAAGGTATATCTGAAAACAGTTTGGAAAAGCTGCAGATCTCTTGACTGCTGTCTTGCAAACCCTCCCATTCTACCCCCACCCATGATTTATGTGGCTGTCCAAACACAGCTGTCCTAATGCAGCTCCATGAGAAGCTTTGCAATTGCCTGCCTCTTGAGGTTCGCGCCACTGAGCTAACCAACCAGGAAGTAAAAAGGCCTGTTGTCTGATATAAAGGACCACTATAGGCACCCAGACCACTTCAGCTTAATGAAGTGGTCTGGGTGCCAGGTCCCTATAGGATTAACCTTTTCTGCTGTAAGCATAGCAGTTTCAGAGAAACTGCTATGTTTACTTTAGGGTTAATCCAGCCTCTAGTGGCTGTCTCATTGACAGTCGCTAGAGGCGCTTCCGCACTTCTCACTGTGATTTTCACAGTGAGAAGATGCCAGCGTCCATAGGAAAGCATTGAGAATGCTTTCCTATGAGACTGGCTGAATGCGCGCTACTCTTGCCGCGCATGCGCATTCAGCCGATCACGGAAGAAGAGGGAGGAGATTCTCCAGCACCGAGGTTTAACCCCTTCCTCTCCATCCAGCCCGGCGGGATGGGGACCCTGAGGGTGGGGGCACCCTCAGGGCACTATATTGCCAGGAAAACGAGTATGTTTTCCTGGCACTATAGTGGTCCTTTAAAGCCTAGGTTTGTAAGAGGGCTAATTTATAAATATGCCAATTTTTATTGAAATCTGCACTTTCTGTAAAATACAGCACTTCAGCAAACGTAAGTAGTTTAGGGGTCTGGAGTGTCCCTTTAAAAATTCAAATGCTCCCACTGAGTAGTGGTTTTATATAGCTGTTTGTCGGTATAGGTATCTGTGTTTAGCTATATGTATTAATCGATATGAATTCATTTTTATGTTATATCCATTTTTGAATATGCAGTGCCCCTCCTGAATTTAGGCTCTGGATCCACTCCTGTGTTCAACCACAATGTAAAATACTCTATAATAGTATATATGATCAGATGTGAAAAATACACTTGCCTTACCAGGAACCTTATTAGAAATTACTTAATGTGGCCTATGACCTGATTTTCTGAAAATAGAATTTTGAATATAGACAAGTAGCATATTAATTTCCCTTCCAATATAACACATTTTCCAAGATATTTAATTAAAATAATTTTGCAATCTGAGGTTATGCTGGTCAGATTTTAAATTGTTTGTATATATTTATGCAAAACAGTTTAGTTAATGAGGCTGTGAGACACGTGTTGTGATTCTGACTTTACTAATGATCAAACTCAAAATATAATGTAGGTTGTGGTGACCAATTCTATAAAAAATAAAACGCACACATTTTATATATATATATATATATATATATATATATATATATATATATATATTTGTATTTGTGGTATTTTATATTTAAGAGAAAGAATTTGGAAATACACAAAATAGTTTATTCAATTGACTGGGAAACAAGTTGAACTGACAAGGCAATAAATTATCAACTTTAGGAGAATATATCTAAATTAGAACATTACTCCAGCTATGCCAAATCTCTATCACACCTCTTTCAATTATTAGTCAATTCTCCAAAAGTTCTGGTTTTTGAAAATTCTTGAGATGATAAAATAGTGGAGTTTGAGAATTTTTCAGCGAAGTGTGTCTAAAATTTTCTCAGAATTCTGAATAATCCTGGTGCTTTATAACCACTGAAATATGGATGATATTATTTTTTTTTATTTTTTATATTGCACCAAATATACATTTATATGCACAAACAATGTTGCAGCTTTGATACAGTGAGTAAAGTGTTTACTAACATAAAGTTCGACAGAACCAAGCCAACACAGTGGGTATTGAGAATTCTGCCTGCAAGCTTACAATCTAAACCGTTGCACACTATAGCATCTTCTTTCATTATAAATTGATATGCTTGATTTATTTTCTGTTAGCCAGGCAGCCCTTAAGCACAATACATTTCTGCTTACGTTTACAAAGAGAACATCTGGCACTGTCAAAAAGGAAGAACCAAAGTCATGTGTGTTTGTAAAGTGAAAAAAAGTGTGGGTCTGTGTCCACACAACATGTATATTTTGGTGATAACGTAAACAGACTAAACCTTTAAACACTTCAGATATTTTTTTTTTAATTTTGAGAAGAGGTTTGATTAATACATGCATTTTTTAAGCTGGCAAACAATATTGAGTTTACATAGGCCACAACTATTCTAAAATGTAAAATATATTTTCTGCATAGAAAATAATTATTAACTTTTAAATCACTCATTGCGTTTAGAAGAAATCACAAAACTAGTAGAATGTACACTCTGAAAAAATAAAGCAATAGGATCATAATTTTCAACTGTCATTTTGATCAGCTTAGTGTATAAACCTAATCTCGGAGGACTCTGTAGGCTTACTGTGGTATGCAGAGATAATCTCAACATGATTATGTAGAAAAAAATTAAAAGGCCACTTTAATTATACAGTGTTGGGTTACTGTGACTTTTCTTTTAAGCAAATTGTTCCGAACAATAATTTATGTATTGATGAAGTTGTATAAACATTTTTACTGTACATTGTTCGTCTCCTTGAAGACTTGTTTAAAGTTAACAAAAGTCCATTTTTATGGGCATTTATGGGTATAAAAAAAAAAGTTGTTTTAGTAATTTATCCAGTGTACACAACAACTTTTCTTACAAGCCATTTTGCTTCAAATTTTAAAATATAGTAACAAACAATAAATGGTAACAGTATTCCAGTGAGACACACTGAAAATAAAAGATGCTCAAAACACCTTAGTGAGTTTCCCTTTACCCTTACAACAAACTAAAATTACATACAGTATAAGGTGGAGTATCTTCTTATTAAAACAGATGACAATGGTTAATATTCCTAGAGAAAATACAGAATAAAACACATAATAGTGCAACACAGGTCCGTAAGGTACCCAATAGAAGAGCTTTTGCACTAGGTGGACGAGTTGGGCAGAGATAGAAGATGTGCCCTCTTTCTCCACAATAGAAACACAGGCCATGGACTCTCCTACGGTCTATTTCCTCAGGAGGCAACCTAGTTCAGATGAATCTGATCTCCATGGGTTCCTCCCTGTCCAGTGGAGTTTCATGGCTTACTTGGGTACAGTCAGGGTGACAAGGCCAGTCGCTGAAGGTGCACTTGTACTGTAACAGGATGGAGTTATCTATTTCTCTAGGTACCTGAGATCTGCAGGAACCTGGAGCAGACTTGGGAGTAGCTTTCATGGAGGTAAGGCACTTAGAGTCCATCGCGGTTATAAATGACTCCCAGTCATCCAATACAGCACATTTCTCCTGCAGCTTTTGGTATGCCCATGCCTTCAGCCATCAGGAAAGCAGATTAACAACGGAGCGGACTTTGACAAAGTCGGTGGCATAAGCCCTTGGTTTTAAAGCAAACAGGAGCTCACAATCCATCGTGAATGTTGTGAATGAGGAACAGGAGCCATCAAACCTGTCAGGCATTATTACAAAGGGCTCTGGATATGCAGGATTCAGGGTTGGGTGTACCATTCCTTCAAAGGCCAATACATCTGTCTGCACCTCCTGAACAGTCTGGAACAGGTTGGTCACTTGATGAGCAAGGGAGGTGAGCAGCTTGTATATCTCTGCAGACTCCATGGTCAGTTCATTATGTCAGAATGTTACGTGCAGAGTTAAACGCTTATCATTGAAAATAAACACAGACCAAGGTGTCCAGGTAAGAAGCCACCTGGGCCATGAGTCTGTGCACACGGGCTGTGCAGGAATATAGCTCCAAGTCACAGTACAGGCAAGGGCAAGCAGAAGAGTAGTCGTGGAAAGTCAAAGTCAGGGGAAGCCAGAGGTCAGAGTAAACTAAGAAATAAGCCAAGGTCGGAAGCTGTCTGGAGTACACTGGATCAAGATAAACAATAACAGGAACCAGAGTCAATGAACTGATCTTGCCCTCAGGGAAAGGCAGAGTTTTATACCTGGCTGATTGACGATCTGCTTCAGGTGGGCTCGCATAGACAGGAGAAGCCACAGGAAAAGTCCAGCCACCAGTGCTGTAGAGAAGGCAGGGATAAACATCAGGCTGAAACAAGGACTGAAGTGTTGCTTAGAGGCAAGACCGCAGTCCCAGGACACAGAGGGATCCAGGTTCTATTCCCCTGTAACTCAAGGACTGAAGTGTGGCTTAGAGGCAAGACAGCAGTCCCAGGACACAGCAGGATCCAGGTTCAATTCTCCTGTAAGGCACCTCTGGGGCGACCACGTCTGGATGTCATGGTGAAAACTGTGACAGGGAGAAAGCTGAGCCAGCCCACAGCAACAGCACTGCCACAAATTGCTGTAAGTAAACTGAGCACTGAAGTGCTGGCATGCACAGCTTGTAATCTCAGAGCAACAGAACTTGGAAACATGAGCATATCCCTGAATCTCTGGCCAGGTCAGCCTTCTCCCTCTGACACCCGTGTTTTTTTTAGTTTTACCCTGGCAGTGGGGCTGATCGGGAAAAACTGCACCCTGCACCCTGCCCATTACCCAGCACTCATTCACCTACAGTCACTCTACCAATCCCCATCTCTCACTCACAGTCAACCTCCCCATTCCGCATCTCTCAGTTACAGTCACCATGCATATCCAACATCCGTCACTCACAATCACCCTGCACATCCTCAAGCTCTCACTCACAGTCACTCTGCCCATCGCTCCAGTTCTCACTCACGTACAGTCACATAGAAACATCATGCCCATCCCCCAGAACTCACTCACCTACAGTCACCATGCCCTTCCCCCAGCACTCACTCACCTACAGTTACCCTGCACATCTCCTCCATACCTCACAGACACCCACACCCCCCTGCACAACCTACTCATACCTCCAGTCACATACAGCCACCTTGTACATTCCCCCAGCGGTCAATCACCTACAGCCACTTTCCACATCCACCAAGCTGTCAATCACCCACAGCCACCTCAAGCAGGTGTTGAACTCGAGCGACATGGAGCCCATCTTGGGACACGCTTCTGATAAAGACATTTCATAAGTCAGGCTCATCAGTGTTTGTGTGTGCCTGTTAAAAACAGGGAGGTGGAAATGTGTGGTTTTTTTTGCACAGAATCCCTCTACATATACATCACGAGACAAACTACCTTCCACACTGCAATTGCTATACACATACAATGCCTCTTGTACAAACATCATACTGTACACCCTATACATAAACACAAGAGCTCCTATAAACACTGCAGCTCCTAATACATACATATAATGCAACCGCTATACACATTTAGACACACTGCAGACCCAAATATAAACACCCTCTACAGCCCCTTTATGCACACACATGCACGCTACAGCCCCTATCAACACACATAAATATATTCTGCGGCCTCTAGACACACAATCTCTACAGCCCTCCGACATGCAAACACACTCTACGTGCTTCTAGGTGCACTTACTTGAAAAAAAAAAGAATCTGCATTACATGACATCCTGACACTTTTTTTTTTAAGGACTGTATATCTTCGCCTTAATGTGGCAATATATTTGGCAATTATTGTTTAAGATCTCTCTCCTAACTTGGTAGTCTGATGTGTGATTGCCCTACTTAGGATACCAATTTAAGGCCCTCTTTGCTACCCTAATATAGCACCCTGATTTGGGGTTCCCACATTAGGGCCCACATTGGGGCACTGTGTAGTAGATGGCTCTTCTAATTTGGTACCCTTACGATGGGTTGCCTATTTAAGGATAAGGAGTGAAAAATGACCTTTAAAACCATTATAGTTATGGATATTAATTTTCATCCCTGCACAACAGTTTTTTAATGGATATTATTCTCCCTTTTCTTTAAAAAGTGTAGAACACAGTAACATGGAGACATAAACATGCATATACCTGTATATAGGAGCAAGGGCAAGCCCATGCCTTTATATCGAGGCATTGTAAGACTATGCCTTTATACAGAGGTATGGTTGTTTTGAGGTTAATAAGAATGGGAGGTTTTAAATGTTGGAAAATATTGGACGATGGGTTGTGACCAGGGAGGGGTGCTGTCAAGATTTTTCGCAAAGGGCTCCTAAAATCCCGGCCCTGCGTAAAACTGTATATGGGGCAAAATTTGTCAAGAGAAAGTAAAATTATTATTTCTCAGCAAAATTTGGGCAATCAAGCTTAACAAACATAATGTCCTAGATTCTATATTTAGTTATAAAATTGTTATATTCAGCAGAGTAGGTGAAGAGCACATTAAAAACCATAAAATGTTACCTGAAGCATTTTACATAAAATGTTATGTATTAGTAGCTATTCTTCTTCTTCACAAAATCAGTTGCATAATTGTGCTTGTCTGTTACCTACTTGTTTATGGTTTCTGAGTGCTTTTGAAAGTGATATTTAAAATACAGGTTTAACATCTTTTATGGATTCAATGCCTTTTATTGCTTTACATTTTATTGTAAGTATTGTTAATCTTGTTTTTCTATGAATTATAAATTCTATTCCTCTTCACAATATTCTCTTTGAGTGTTGAAGACAGATGACAAATTAATTTATTTAAAATCAGAAATGCTAAAACTAGTTTTTCTGTTTTGACATTATTCAAGCACAGATGTAAATTAAAGATTTTTTTTATATTAAATATTAGAACTGTGTTTTGTATCTTGTTTTTGTTAGAAAGATGCCAGTGCAAACAAAAGCAAAGAAACACATTTTCCCTGCCACCCAAATGTACATATTTAACTGCTGCCACCACCAGGATAATAGGAAGCAAAGGTGACTTTAATTTAAAATTCAAATAGAATTCTCACTTTAGTGAATATCCCTGCGTAATAAAGGTCAATAAATACTATACAGGGGAACTGCTCACATAACATGCTTGAAACTGCAAAGATAAATATATTTTAAAAAGAGCATAACACTTTTTCTGTCCTTAAAAATACTTAGCGCTTGTTTAGGCTCCGTCTCCACTCCTCCACCGACAAACTCAGCTGACAGGGGGAATGGGGTGAGGGGAAGGGAGACCTAATGCACATTTGCAGCTATTGCATTAGGACTTCCACCAGAGGAAATCATTGTATAATGTTTTCCTATGGGGTTTTGGGTGACGCAGGATGTCCTCATGCAAAGCGTTATTTAGCGGACTAAAAGTCCACTAAGGACCTGTAAGGCGTAGGAAATCACTAGAGGTAGAGTTAACCTTGCAAGATTATTATTGCAGTTTCTTAATAACTGCAATGAGTACAATTGCAGTAATAATAGGTAGTGTTCGCCACGAACAGTTCGCCACGGACTCATCATTGAGTAAACTTTGACCCTGTACCTCACAGTCAGCAGACACATTCCAGCCAATCAGCAGCAGACCCTCCCTCCCAGACCCTCCCACCTCCTGGACAGCTCACTAAGAATGCAGCTTCACAATGAATGTAAAATGGATGCTGTCCCGGAGGTGGGAGGGAGGGTCTGCTGCTGATTGGCTGGAATGTGTCTGCTGACTGTGAGGTACAGGTTCAAAGTTTACTCAATGATGAGTCCGCGCGAAACCGTTCTGGACATCACTAATAATAGGCCTATGACATTGCACACAGACCACTTCAATTAGCTGAAGTGGTCTGGGTGCCTATAGTATACCTTTAATGTTCTAAATCATGGATAAGTAGCCTCAATCATTTTAGATTTTGTGGACTACATCTCCCATAATGCGTTACAGCCATAATGCTGGCAAAGCTTTAAGGGAGATGTCATCCATAACATTTGGAGTGCAAAGGTTGCCTACCCCTGTTGTAAAGCATTCTTTTCTCTTCTGAAATCAGACTTTTTTTAATCATACAGTCCCAGTTACAAATAAACAGTAATTTTAGAGGATAAAAGATAGAAGAATTGTTTTATCTTCCATTGGGTAAGCATTCCATTTTATTGAATCTTGAATACAAAAATGGAAACTAGAATATGATAACCCTTATCACACACTGTTGACCCAGTCTGTGACATAGTTCTTTGTGATGTATGATACACCAGGCTATTCCTAACAGCCTTTCATAAATTTCCTTAACTAGAAATACACTTGATGTGTTTGTCCTTTTCAATGTACTTGACTATATTCAGTTTGCAAATCCTGAAGAAAAGGAAAATTAGAACAAGTATACTAGTCATAATCTTTTATATTGTAAACTCCAGTACATCATACACTTTGATGAAAACTGTTCTAAAATGGGTAAAATGAGTTGTGTGTTAAATCATTTATTTCCTGTATTTTTGTATTTTAATATTTAAGTGCACATTTTCATTATGTAAGTTATTTACCTCCTTTTGCCAATCCCCCATCCTTAAAAAAACAACAACGAAAAAACAACCAACCACAAGACAAACTACACAGAGTAGGCTTGCTATACAATTACTTCATACAGTTGCAAGAAAAAGTATGTGAACCCTTTGGAATGATATGGATTTCTGCACAAATTGGTCATAAAATGTGATCTGATCATCATCTAAGTCACAACAATAGACAATCACAGTCTGCTTAAACTAATAACACACAAAGAATGAAATGTTGCCATGTTTTTATTGAACACACCATGTAAACATTCACCGTGCAGGTGGAAAAAGTATGTGAACCCTTGGATTTAATAACTGGTTGAACCTCCTTTGGCAGCAATAACTTCAACCAAACATTTCCTGTAGTTGCAGATCAGACGTGCACAACGGTCAGGAGTAATTCTTGACCATTCCTCTTTACAAAACTGTTTCAGTTCAGCAATATTCTTGGGATGTCTGTCTCCACATGCGGAAATCAAAATCATAAATTAAGACAAATATGCATGTTTTGGTTGGTTCACGATTTAGCTACATTTTGACTCAGAGTTCGACAATTCGACTGATCACCCGAATGGTCCAAATTTGGATGACTTTCAGTTCAGCTCAAGATAAATCTCCAAGTCTATTATTAATGATGAATATGAAGTCACAATTTATAAAAAAAAAAATTAAATTGTATTAGCAAAGAGACTTACACATAGAAAATGAGTGGAAGAAATTAACAGAAAACCTGTTACTCACTTTACCAGCAAAGTAATGATTTTTTGATCACCAGAGCAACTGGCACAGGTCAAATAGAGTAATCATGCAAATCAGTTGTGTCTCTCAATTGGGACTGAAAACTTTCAAAGTTAATTGAGTTCTAATTTGCCTTGTCAGTCCAAATTGAATTTCCAGGTCAAGGCCCCTGTGATAAGAACACACTTCCATTTTTCTTAATGGCTGTAAGCTTCCCTTTACACGGGATATAATGTATTAGAATGTTTTTGTTTCCAATAATGTCTAGCAGTTGTATCTTTTTATGCTCCTGGAGATTTCCAAATTACTTTGGGGTGAAAGCTTCCTAGATACTAGGAGTATAAAGTTATTACTGAAATGAGTGTGTTTCAGTAGAGCATTCTAGCTATGAGCATGCATGTTAAAGTATTTAGTAAATACAATGTATGCCTAGAAGAAGTTTGCTTTATTTTAATCAACGAAAACAAGTTTTGTGCAGAAGAAAAAGGTGTATCAAAACATTTGTAAACTTGTATTAAAGAATTTTATATATATTGCATAAAGCTATGGATGGTCCAAAGGCATGACGCTGGTTTGATACAAAGCTATGTATATTGAAAATAGTAATATAAATCAGCACATCCTATTTTCTAATTTCTACTTTTTTTCATATTGTATTGTAAGTCAGTTAAGAAACTGGTAAAATAAAAATAGCCTATCCATTGCATATAATCAAACTTTTCTAATAAAAAAATATAATCTATCATTTATGCTTAGCTTGGTTACAGAGACAATAATTCCATTACTAGAGAATGGCTATGAAAGCTATGAAAATAAGCATATCATTTAAAAAAAGTCATGATCAAAAATCCAAATTAGCGCTGAGCAGAATGTTAGGAAATAAAGGATGCATGTGATATAAATATTGTATTAGTGTCAATTTCAATTAAGTCCCAGTATTCTATATAAAGAAGAATTTATATATGTATATATTTTTT